TGCTCTCTTCCACCATACAGCTTTTGATCACGCTGTTCCTGCTTCCCAGAGCAGCTTCCCTAGCCCATCCTTCTCTCCCTTTACTGAGTGGGCTCAAATCCATCCTTCATATTTAAGCTCTGGAAGCATCCCTGGCCACCCGCAGAAGACTAAGTAGGTCCCCATTGTTTGCCTTCCTAGCACTTTCAAGCTAACACCAGTTAGTTAATGTGTGCTTCCCCCACAGACCGCGAACTCCACTGGAGTGTAGAGCACACCCGTATTAGCTCCCCTGGAGTCCGCAGCGCCCAGCCCAGCGCGCCAGACATCAAAACCATTGCTGCACATTGAACACATGCTAGTTGAAGGAAATGGAATGAATGGATGGACAGCTGCTCCCTGCCGCCCCATGCCGTCTTCCTCACCCATGTCTGACTCTGCTTAACTGACAGCTTCACTTAAATTAGGCCTTATTTAAGAGACCCCAGTACCCGGGATGATGATAACAGCAAGGTCAGGGGAGAAGTTTCTCGTTTGAGCCTGAGCTGTGCCTTCAGGTGAACCTATGCTAGCTGTTGCTTCGAAGAAGAGCATTACAGGGCATCGAATGTTGATTCTTTGGTTGAGTATATTTCTTTTAATAATTGACTCATTAGCCACGGATGGTTCTTCATAGCCTGAGTCTAATATCTTGAAGACCATTGTTTCATTTATCTTGTCCAGTGTCTCCGTTGTTTGAGGCAGGAGAATGAATTAGATCCCCATGACTCCATCTTGGCCAGAAGCCAGGAATCATTGTGCGGAGTTAGATTTTTATTGTAGTGGAACTTGGCCGGTGATAAAAGAAAGCAGGTGGAACTGACACAGCAAAGAGCTGTGTGATTCTGTAGGATAGTGGCTCTCGAATTTGAGCACGCAGGAGCACCACGCGGAAGGCTCACGAAAACACAGATCAGTGTGTCCACCCCCCAGGGTTTGTGACTCGGTTGTTCTGGGGTGGGGCCCAAGAAAGGGCATTTTTAATCTACTGATAGATGCTGCTGCTGCTGGTCCCGGGACCACACTCTGAATATCTGTGCTTCTGGATGTGGGTCTGCAAACTTTGTCTGTGGTTAGTAACTATTTCAGGCTTTGTAAGCCATGTGGTCTCCGTCACAGCTACTCAACTCTGCCACTGTCAGGCAAAAATAGCCACAGACAGTTTAATGAGTGGGCATAGCTATGTTCCAGTAAAACTTTATTTACAAAAACACAAGCTATAATTTACTAAATTTGCTAACCCCTGGCTCAGGAGAACTTTGAGTATCCACTCTGTGAGGGATACTATGTGGATAATTGCCACTCCCTTTCAGAGTCAAGGGGAAGTCATTCTTTCTAGTACCTGTAGACTTGATGGTCACTGTACGCAGAGTGATAGTGTGGCAAGGCGATAGCTGCCTTTCTGGTCTGTATGTCTATATTAACACTGTAAAATACAACGGAATGGTTGTTTGGACACATAAAGTAAAAAGAACCCCTTCTGCCTCCTCCCACACACATACGCCCAGGACTGGCTCCATGATTTGCAGGCCCAGTACAAAATTCAGATACTGTTGTTCAAAGATTATTCAGAATTTCAAGATGGCAATAAGAGCATTAAGCCAAGCATGGAGGCCCATGGAACTGCACAGATCACATGCCTGTGAGGCAGACCCGAACACACATCACCGTCCTGGCCTCCACTACCACCCGTGCCTCGTACACACCCACCTACCTGCATTTCAAGTCAGAATGCTATTAGCGTGAGGATGCTAATGGTATTGATATCCACATTTAGCAAATATATTTAGGTTTCTCTTTTTGCAGTTTTTATTTCTCTGGGATAAGTGTGTGCCACACAACCCTACTGCCCAGTGTTCCCAGATACCTTACACACGGTGGATAAGAGAGCTTCTAGATTAGCATAGAAGGTACAATGTGGAGTGATCCTCTTACAAGTGGTTGGATATCCACCACACATGCAATTTTAGCCCTGCAGATAACTGGTCAACCAAGCTAGACTAAGCTCTGCATCCAGCTATATTGTTTCCTGTAAAGTGTTCCCATGTTATATCCTGCAAGCTTCTAGTCACACTGGCTGGTGGCGCCCATAAGAGTTTTATCTTCATGTGTGGAACGATGTCCAACATGGTGGCTTCTGTTCTGCAGGAGCCAGAGTTCCTACAGGTGCAAATAAACTCATGTGCGAAAACGTGAGAGCTTTGCATCTGCTGAAAGAGTACAGCCCATTGCAGTAGTCAGTCCCCCAGTCATTCAAGCCCGGGTTTTTCCTGCTGTCGTAAAATGAGACCCAGAGTATGGGGTAGAAGGAGTCCTTGAGAGAGAGAAACTGGAGGGAAACTTTAGCCATGATCTGGTGGTGGACTGAGCAACATCATTCTTTTAACCCTGTCTGTCTGTCTGAGCCAGGGAGCAGCCGTGAAACTTCCTTTGCAAGAAGCAGAATGCTGTAACCTTTGGATAAAAGACTGTTTTGAAGTGGCAACTCTGGATTAGGAGGGCTGAGTTCTTTTGTTAAAGGGCAAGTGCACTATGCTGTGACCACTAACCTAACTCCAGCTGATGAGCAAGGGTGTGGGCTTGTTAAAATATATGCACAAAAATATCTTATCAGATTTATATCAGTGTCACCATGTCGGCTGTTTATGTGTTCTGCACACTAGGCCTTTCTGGGGAAAGCCTTCCCTGGCCCCTCTCAAGTGTGAATTCTATTCCCTCCTGTCCTTCTCCCTTCCATTCCTCCCCACCCACCGCCCACTGGCTCTCCAGCAGTCAGTATCTTGGCCTTTATCGCACTGTACTGTAATAATTGTATCACTTTTCTGCCTATAGCGTTAGACTGATCTCCTTGAAAATGATGTCTTAGCTCAGATTTGTAACCTCAGTGCCACACACAGTACCCAGCACTAGTAGGTCTTCAAAAAGTATTGAACTAATGAAATCCAAAAAGTACAGCTCAGAACCCAGCTCACATCACAGAAAATTGAATATCTGGCAAGTCACAATGTATCTTCCAATGTCCTGCAGTGATGGAAAGTTCTATATCTGCTCTGTCCAATATGGTGGCTGTTGAGCATGTGAAATATGGCTAGTGCAAATAAGGAAGTGAAGTTTTTATCTTATTTAACTTTTAATCATTTCAATAGCCACCTGTGCTAGCGGCTACCGTGTTAAATGGTGCGGTCCCAAAGCCATACATCTCTATCCAGCAAGGAACTTCCTTAGCCAGGGAAGCAGGCATTCATTTCGTTCTTCACTTCGTCAGCGGGGCTGAGAATATGGTGAATGGTACAAGGCGTGCAGGTCAAGGGCCTTTCTGTAACAGCACCCTGGTGGCCGGGGTTCGGTTCTCTTGCTCCGGGAGCCCGGAGAGTTTGGACCTGCAGTTGCCTTCCTCTGCCCTCCTCTCAGCTCCCAGGAAGGCATGTGACAAGATGGCGCTCCAGCATGCTTGTTCCCAGCCTCAAGTGTCCAGAGCTCTTTAAGGCCCTGACTTGCTAGTGAAGTGGACCCAGATAGAGCGCTGGTCCCCATTTTATGTCCTTTCATAGATCCCCTTCAAGGAGGCTGGTCTTCGTGAAAGCAGCTGGGCATGTATTGAAATAAGAGAAAGCACCAGTCCCTGATTCATAAGAAAGCATCACTTTCTCCTGAAGCCCTGACACTCCAAATTTCCCCATGACCTGAAGACTCATGCGGTATAATGAGATTAGAGTCACCTCTTGTGGTAGGTTGAAGCAAATGCTAGTTTCGAGTAGGACGCTCATCAAAATGGAGAAGCTGGTCTCCAGCTGGTGAGCTGGGCAGCAGTTCCTGTCTGCTGTAAAGGAATTTAGCTGGCTTGGCATGCTTGCCTGGGAGGGATGCTGTTAACTCTCAGGTGCAGCCAGTGTCCCCTGACAGGCCACCTCCTTACAGGCCTGGGTAATATCCACAGGGACTGGAGGCCAGCACTGCTCCAGCCGAAGCGTAAAGGGCTCCAGACTGGGCATGTCAGCGGCCCTGCCCCACAGGGAGGTCTGTGCCCGCTCAAGGAGAGGTTTATTTTAAAATGAAGAGAGTCTTCTCAAGGTGAAGAGTGGGTTGTGGATCTCTCCTCCATTTCACCTCATGGATGTTCATTTTCTTTTTTTTTTTTTTCCCCTTGTTCCTTTTCCCTCTTCACTCACCTAAATGTCACCCACCAGCTAAGGGTTCTTACTGTGAACGTGTGTTGGGGCCATGGGCACACGGAAGCTGGGGAGGAGGGGGGGCGGGAAGTGCTGTGCTGCCTGGAGGTGGTGGCAGGGTGGATATCTTCCTTAAGTAAGGTGAGGGTGATTCCTGACACTGACATGAGGGAGATCTGAGTGGACGCACTTGAGTGGATCATGGTGACTTGATATCTCTAGGGACCAAAATACCCATCACCTTCCCAAAATGGTCACATAGATGTGTGTGTGAGGCCAGGAGCAGTATGCCTACTGTGTTTGATTCTCTTGGTTGCCCAGCATATCAAAGGCTCGGGGAAAGCCATTGGCTGCTACGGAAATGGAGGTACTGGAAACCCAGCAGATTGAGGCTGGGGGACTTGAGGGCCACTGTTCTTCACAGAACTGCAGCTTCACGCTGTCCTCTTCTGACTGTGTTAGTGGAATGATTGCTCCGCACCGTTACCTGAGCAGGGCCCTCCCCACCCCCACCCGCCGGGGCCCGCCAGGAGGCTCTGGAAGTGTGACTTACTCCATAATGACTTCTCAGGTGGCTGTTCTGCCACTTGCCCCAAGCACATTAAGGTACCTTCCCTCTTGGAGCCCCACTGTCCTCACCCACAGAATGTGAGGTGATGCCCGCTACCCCACTGGCCCTTGGGATGTTGGGCCATTAACCACAGAGCATGAGAGGGAAGATGGAAAAGTGGAACCTTCTCTGCTATGTGTGGTGTTCGTGAGACCGGAGGCATCTTGTCCACAACAGCTGCATTTTCTCTCCTTTGGGTCCAGGCTGCTTTGAGTGCTGCATCAAGTGTCTGGGAGGAGTCCCCTATGCCTCTCTGGTGGCCACCATCCTCTGCTTCTCCGGGGTCGCCTTGTTCTGTGGCTGTGGGCATGTGGCTCTCGCGGGCACTGTGGCCATTCTGGAGCAGCACTTCTCCACCAACACCAGTGACCACGCCTTGCTGAGTGAGGTGTAAGTACCACTTCCCTTTAAAAATGTATTTGAAATGCAAGAGATTAGTGTGCTGTCCTGGCAGGAAACTCATGCTTTCATTAAAGCTCATTGCGTGCGGATAGAAAAAGGTCCAGGAGAGAAGGAAGGAAAGGGTCAAGGAAAGAGGCACAAAATCTCAATCATAATGTAAATTCGTCACAGGGATGAAAGTACAGCACAGAGAATGTAGTCCGTAGTGCTGTAGCATCTTCCTAGGTTGACAGACAATAACTGCACTAGTGGGGATGAGCATTTGATAATATGGGAGATCATATGTTGAATCACTATGTTGTGTACTTGAAACCAATATAATAGTGTATATCAACTCTACCTTCAATAACAAAAATATATATTTAAAATGGCAATGCAATGGGTATTTGGCCCTTGAGGTGTTTGGGACCCAGGGTGAGATCTCACCTGGGAATGGCAAGGTGCATACACAGTATACTCTGCACGCAGTAGCTACGGACGCGGGCACGGTGGCAAGGTGACGGCTTGACACTGTCAGTCATCCCACCAGTTACCCTGGGCCCAAGTCACAGGCGCCCTCTAGTGTCATCCCAGGAAATTACGACCCCTGGAATGTTGGGGCCCTGGTGACCATTGCCCCAACGCTTAAGTCTACAGGAGCAGCTCTTTAACATGAACTGTTCTGGGGGAACAAATCCCAGGGCATCCTGCATTTCAGAAAGGGGTAGTTTAGGGACTTTAGCCTGAAATCTCTGCCTTTCTGTTCTGTAATCATCTCTGTGGATTCTCAACAACTCCCATGCACAGCAGATTCTTGTAACCATGCAAGCTCAGCACTGATGGATTCATTTCCCTCAAACATTTTCCCCTGTGCCCATTTCCTTTCTCTTTCCTTGACTCGAAAAGTTTCAGTGTTCAGGTATCTCATGACTGTAAGAAACTTCGCCACCATGCTGAAAAAGGCATGAATGAGTTTTTATGGAACAGTAATGGAATCATGGTAGAAGAGTCCTTAGAGAATTTTATATTTTTTTATCTCTTCACAAATATCCAAAGAAATGAGCAGGGGTGGGGTATAAGGAGGATCAACCAAGACAAAGAATTCATTGAGTGCAAAGTGTGTGCAAAGAAAATCAAGGAGTATTTACCACAAGTAACCTGGGAAAGGCGTGTTAATTTGAGTAGCTAGCCATCTTAATCAGTGTCTCTCAAACTTCCAAGAAGCTTTAAAAAATGCCCCTGCCCATGCTTCCTCCCAGACAAATTCAGTCATAATCTCTGGGATAGTTCCAGTGGTTCCAGTGGGCAGCCAGAGGCTCAGGAATAGTCCTCTGGGTCTTTGAAAGCCTTCGTAGGACAAAGTTAGCTGTGAATTAACTTTCTGTATCTTAAACCTACTTCACGTATTATCACTTGTATAGTGAGAATCTCAAGTCAACCATCATCTGGTCAGGCTGCTCCTCGAGCGCCGAGGGCTTACCTAGCAGTTTCATCAGAATGGTGCCAACCACTAGGCCTGGCTGGGTGGCACTGTGATATGGCAGAAAGGACCTGTTGTCTATGGAACCAGAGTTCAAATGCCGGCCTGCCACCAGCCGTGCGTCCTTGGAGGCGTAACTCAACTCCTCAAGGCCGGTGTTAACCTATATGCAAAAGTAGGATTCTAGCCCTCCGACCAGGACTTGGGTAGGTGAATGCCAGACCTGGGCCCCTGGCCCGACCGAAGGAACCTTTCCCCTTGCCTGGGAAGGCTGCCCACCTCAACCTTGGGCCCACCTTGAAAGAAAGGCCCAGGTTGCTGTGCAGTGAGCAGAGGCCTGCCTGGAATGCCCCACAAGCCTGCCACCAAAGCCATTGGGGTGAGAGATGTCACAGGAATGTCACTTCATGTCCTCCCTCCAGATGCCAAAAAACCTAGTCTGTCTACCATGCAGTGAACTCCACTTTACAGATCTCTTGCTTCTTTTCATAGCATACAGCTGATGCAGTATGTCATCTACGGCATTGCATCCTTTTTCTTCTTGTATGGGATCATTCTGTTGGCAGAAGGCTTTTACACCACAAGTGCCGTGAAAGAACTGCATGGGGAGTTTAAGACCACTGCCTGTGGCCGGTGCATCAGTGGAATGGTGAGTACGAACCTGACAGTCTGATATGCAACCACAGCCACACCTCTAGGCATTTCTTTGTATTTGGTGAAAGCTACAAGCTAACAGAGTGGATAGAGTCCATGACACAAATATTCTTAGCAATTCCGAGTCAGGAATATGAAGAACCTTCAGCATATTATTGATGATAAATGAAAACCTATGGCTGAAGTAGTAAACATTTCCCTTACCAACATACAGGGAACAAGGGTTCAGAAGATTTTCCAAACATGAAGTTCCCACTGTGAAATCAATGGCTTTCCTATTGTCCCTTTGTCTTTGAGTATGGATTGTGGCCATAGAGACTTGCATGTACTCTGATAAACTGCCACAACCCTTCTGGGAGTATTTACCAAGCACTTTTTCTACTGAGCACCTAGCTGGGGACTTTGCTAATCACTGCGGTACGAAGATGAAAAACATAAGCTCCGATCCTCAAGAACCTTATAGTGTGAGACAGGGGTCAGGGGTTAGTGGGGTCTAGCCCTTGGGTCAAATCCACTCCGCCATCTGGTATCGTATGGCCCATGAGCTAGAATGGGTTTGTACCCTTAAATTGTTGGGGGGAAAAACAAATATCTTGTGACACATGAAAACTGTATGTAATTGAAGTTTCAATGGCTGCCAGTAATTTTATTGGCACCCAGCCACACCCATCAGCTGCCACATTGTCTGTGACTGCTTTCCTGCTCCAACAGCAGAGCTGAGTGGGGTGACAGAGACCCTTTGTGGCCCACAAGCCAAAACTGGTCCCGAGCTGGCCTTTTGCAGGTGACGTCTGCTGACCTCTGGTGGAGAGGAGGACAAAGCCTAAGAGCTCCTGAGAAGCCAGGGTTACAAAGTGCTGGGTCACAAAAGGAAATTCAGCGTGGGTGGAGAGGGAAGAGGCATTCATGGAGTTTGATTTGGGGCACATTGAGAGTTTATTATGGCAAATTCACATCAAAAAGCCCCCAAGCAGCTAGCTGTGTTGGTCTGGCATTTGAAAGAGTGCTCAGGTATAAAGAAAATAGTTTGGGAGTCAAGAGGGAAGCTGTAACGCTGAGGCGGAAACCCCAGGCCGGCTGAGGAAGACTGTGGGCCCTCTGCTAAGGAAAACACTCACCCTCGCTGCAGGCCAGGGCTCCCTGGGCGCTGGCCCCCCGCCCAGCTTTCTGTTCTGGCTGGGAGATGACGCAGAGGCTGGCGTACAACACCCGGAGAGGCCAGCGTTCCCGAGTCCTGCTCAGGGAGGCACGCAGACTGTAGTGTACTTCCTGGTGAGCAGATGTGAGCCTGGGTACAAAGGCTGCGTCAGGTTTCTCAGGGTAGGCGCCGTCCTACCCGGGGCAGCCCTGTCACTGGCAGCTTGCTTATCCCTTCACCACCCTCGGGTCCTAAGGAAACTGTACCAAAGCACGCGGCTCTGCTGCTGCTGTCTGGCCCCTGGTTCCTGCTGAGTTTCTCAGTCCTTCGCTAAATGACATGGGACCAGAAATAGAGAATGTGGCAGTGGGCAGTGGGCATGGGAAGAGGGGCACCGCTGCCGTGTGCAGAATCAGAGGGCATTGCAGTGGGCTGGGGTGGGGAAGTTGCCCCACTCGTGACAGGAGAAGGTGATTGAGCATGAGCAGGACAGAGAGGCCCAGGAAAGAGGGGCAGTCCAGGAGCCCGGGCAGGCTGGCTGGAAGGGCCCAGCAGAGGGGCTGGGGGATGACACTGCTTGGGAGGGGGATAGGGACCAGGTCAGGAAAGGCCTTGAGTGGCAGGCTGGGAATGAAATCAACAGCAAAGAGGAGCAGGGGTGAAGCAGGTGAGCACCAGGCTCAGGGCGGGCAGGTGGGCTGTACGGCCTGTGCTTGCAGGGCGGTGCCAGCCCCGCTGTCCTGTGCCTGCAGCCATGGGGGGAGTTACCTAGAGCAGCACAAGTGCTGGGGCGGGGTGGGGATGGGGGTGCTGCACGCCGGGCTGGGGCTGGGGCATGGGAAAGTGGCGGGCATGGGCAAGTCCACGCCAAGATGGTTGGAGGAGGGAACCCTGAGGCAAGCCACAGGCTACTAGGGAGGGGGGAGGAAAGGAGCCTTCGTGGGGAATGAGGGAGGAGTGGCCAGAGGCAGATGTGGGGTACAAGGAAGAAGGAAGCCTTCAGCCAAGGAGGTGCCCCCAAGCATCCGGATGATTTAATTGACCTTGGGGCCTGCCTCCATCAGTCCTCCTGCGCATGCCCATCTCAGCCATCCGAGCTTGCATCGCACAGGTGCTCGGGGCCAGGGCCTCTTTACCAGGCCATCTCTGCAAACTTCTCAGGCAGCCTCACATGTTGCCCAGACCCCTCAGCCAGCCCCACCCTGGGCAGGCTGCCTCCCGCCACCCTGACCTGCTTTGCTGCAGGCTGCTGCTCTGGCCTGTAGTGTCATCTGACGGCGGTCGGCCAGTCCTTGACCCCCTGCAGCCCCAAAACCAGGCTGTCAGTGTAACAATGGGCAGGGGGCTGCCAGAAGGAAACACCACCAAGAAGCCCACGGCTGCTGGGATCCACGGGCCTGGCTAGGCCCAGGGCCCTGCTCCTGGCCCTCCTGGGCTCTTGCTCATTCACAGCAGCCCGTCTGGGCCCAGCCCTGTGTCCTGGCCCAGATCCGAGGGCAGTCCATCAGAGCATAAGCTGCATGGGTCCACACGCCGTCACTGAAGTGCACCTGAAGGACTTCATCTGTGGGACTTCAGCAAGGTCCGGGCAGGCTTCTGCTGTCTGCTGGCCTCCTTAGATCTGCTTGCCTAATCTTCGTACATAAATGCTTGAGCAAGAACACACGCCTATACATACCTGCACGCACGCATGCACTGCTCCCAGGGACAAATAATCTCCACAGAGTGTTATTTCAGAAAACTGTGCTCCTAAAAGAAATGACCTACAGAGATGAAACTTGCTCCTCAGTTGCTGAGCAATGTTGCTCTTTGGTGGTTGTCCTGAACCTCTCCAATTCCAAACCCCAAACTGGATTCTCAGTTCAGTTTGTCTTATTAAGAAGTTCGCAGAACTAGGGAGTATGTGAATTTAAAACTCACAGGAGTAAGTTATATCTTGATAAAGCTGTTTTTTAAAAAGTAAGAGTACATGGCTACAAGTCAGGGGAATGCTTGATTCCCGGGGCAGGAGGCACCTTTTAAAAGAACAAGGGCAAATAGCAAACAAAAAGTGGAGGAAACCCTCCAAAACTCCTGGCAGCTTTCAAATGACAGCTTCCCCTCCTCTCTTCTACCCATCGTTTCAAAAACAAAGGGGTCCAGCTTCCATAAGGCCCAGCATGAAATCAGCAACTGCCTGCAGCTTAGCACTGTAGTCCTGGGAGCCCTCACTGGGGCTTTGTGGGCAAAGCAGTTAAACAAGGCTGCCAGGGCCTCCGTCAGCAACCAGACCTGATGCCTGTGCGTGCAGGCCTGTCCCGCGGAGGGTGGCCGCTGTGGCTATACAGCCTCCAGGTACATTGCCGACGGGCCCCCCTGGACGGTGTATGCCTAGCACACGTTTACATTTCTGGAGATAATGGTGCATGCCTCAGTTTGCTTTTTACCAGAGGCAGCAGGCTGCCCTGGAGGTACTGCAGCGCCTGGGGCTCCTGTGCCAGTGCCCGCTTGGAGGACACAACCCGTTTTTAGCTGTTGTATGTGGTAAAGTTTATTAAAGAAAAGATTTGTTCTAAAAAGTTGGAAAGCCACTGCTGTGTGGAGAGACCCTGGGTCATCTTCATTTCCCCATGGGTCACGTGTGCCTTGAGCCCTGTGGTGGTGTTGATGGGCAGTCACTGACCTGAGCGGCCTTGGAGCGTGCCTAGGGAGATGTAGCGGACAGGAGGGCTGATGATGGCCGTAGCAATGCACCAACCGCAGGTCGAGTGAAGCTGGGATGACAAATGCATGCTGCCCTTGCTCACCAGAAGGCCTTGCTCTGGCTGGGCCTTTGTGTGAAGCCACTCTGAATGCCTGAGAATACCATGACAGGAACGACCCCAAGGGGTCTCGCCACTGGGCCCTGGCCTGCCCTTCGGAGCTCTGACAGCTGCAGGAAGGGAAGCCTCACCAAGCAAAGAACCACCAGCCCTTCTGCAAGTCTTTGTGGTGTTAATCAGAAAGAAAATATTCTTTTGAAAGGTAAGAAAAAGGAACCCTAGTTTGGAGTAATGCAGTTATGAAGGGGAGGCAGGGGTATGGCAGTGTGTAAATCTGTTTCTGAATATTCTTAGAAATGCAAATGTTACAAAATGTCCTTGAAAGAAAAGAAAAAGCTTCTTGTTTCTGCAGTTTCCCATGGTGACCGACAGGAGGTCACCTGTCTGAGCCTAACCCCCAGGCCCACCTCACATCATCCAGGTATTTCCTGCAGTTTGGAAACTTAGATGGAAACTTCAGGTCTTCCGCATAAGCTTAAAAAAAAATGAAAGCCAAACTAGAATTCCAAACCCTCCCCCCCACACTCTGTGGGTGCACATTCTGAGAAGACAAAAACAATGTTTTTGAACAGTCTTTCAAACTTTTCTGATAATTGGTGGTCAGGGAGGTTCTCAAGAAAGTAAAGCACCGTGACTGCAGGCCTCCTGAAACTGCCCGTGACATGGGGGCAAACACTGTGAAGACTTTGCTCAGCCATTCATTTGCCTGTAGAGCTGTTTTGAATCTTGAAAAACTAGAGGGAAATTGAATTTTATCAGATTCACTGCACATTGAGCTGTGTTCAAGGCCATTTTAAACTTCTAATAAAGGGCCAAGCATCTAATGCTATTAGTAATGTCAGACGATCATAAAACGAGTGAAGTTCCTTTTGAGAAAGGTGGTAAAATAGCACTTGCTATATGAAGCCCTGTGCTATGTAAAGTAAAGGTAGTTTTTGAGAAATTAATACGAAGGTATAATCCAGTGGCCTGTGAAAGTGTCCAGGCACCATCCCATGGTACACGGAGAACTGATGCTTCCGAAAGAGCACGACTTGGAAGGCCCTCTTACTGATGGTTATCTCTGGACAAGGGAGGCCACTGCTTGGGGTCAGCGGACACGATATGTCCCTGAAGTGGCTTCCGATAGTAACATTCTTGATCCTACAGGTCTGGAGAGCATGAGCACCTCAGCCCAGCTGCCAGGCCTGGCTCTCCGCTCCCGCTGTCCGGGGTGCTCTGAAGGCATCCCGCAGGCTCCGTATGGGGCTGGGAACGCGTAAGCCCTCTTCCCTGGGATTCGCCTTGCCTGTCAGTGACAATTCTTTCTCCTTGTTTTTGGCTCAGTTTGTCTTCCTCACCTATGTGTTGGGAGTGGCCTGGCTGGGCGTGTTTGGTTTCTCGGCGGTGCCTGTGTTTATGTTCTACAACATATGGTCAACTTGTGAGGTCATCAAGTCTCCCCAGACCAATGGGACAGCTGGTGTGGAGCAGATCTGTGTGGATATCCGGCAATACGGTACTTCCTTTTAATCCCCCCAATTTTTATCCTCTTGGGTATATACATCTGGACCTTATTGTTACACGGGGGTCTCCTGGTCAGGCCTGGTGCATATATTCTTCACTTGGAGCAAGGCATGCTCTCTCTCCATATGCTCTGTGTTCAGGAGGGAAACAGCTTTTAAAGCTCTTAGTTGCTAAAAGGTGGGTTCAAAATTTTGTCATATTTTCAAGTGTAGTATGTAATGAAAGCAACTTTTTATAATGCAGCTCAACCAAAAAAGACTTCTGCACATCCACTATATTTTTTCTTCAGTTTTGTTCCATCCAAACCATTGCAGGTGCTAGATAATCCAAGCAATTTGCACATCCCACTTGTGGTCATTTTAAAAAATGACCAATTGCTGAAAGTTCATCTGTACTGTACAGTTATACTGAAGTTTATCTGTACACACACATAAAACCCAGACAGATTTTAAGGTCATCAGAATGTATAGAAAAGCCAGCTGCGGGAAGCCTGCTCAGACCTATTCTCTAATGGATCTCCTCGCAGTATAGGGGCCACGACTCCTCCTGTCGGTTGAACCAGGGAAAGCAGCATCTTGGGTAAGGGGTTTACTTACTGCTTCGAGCCAGGATGGTAGGAAGTCCTGTTCTTTGCAGAAACAATTGCCAAGGGGGAAAAAGGAGCTTTTCACCAGACTGGAAGAAGAGTAACTGTTCTTTCAGAGCTTTTCTGGAGAGACGTGCCTATTTTCAGTTTGGGGTCTTATCTTCAGCTTCTCCTCTAATGACCTGATATGGAACTGCCCATGGGCCTAATCTCTTCTTATAAAGACCATGGTTCAACCACGCTGTTCTTCATGATGGACTGAAAACAGGGCCTAAAAGTGATTTTTAGAATATTAGTAAACGAACATTTAAACATTGTAAATCACTGGTTTCACTAACAATCTGGGGACTTGCCATTTCTCATTCTTTGGAAGCATACAGACTCACTCTTGCCCAGGGCAAGGATAGAAGGAATAAGGGATTTATTTTCCTTTACTCTCCCGCCTTGCTTCCCGGGAGAAGTATAATTTGAGCTGGGTTTAATATTTACGCACACAAACTGTGCCTTAGCACCAGGAACGGCAGCCCAGGGGGTGACGTCACTGCAGAGGAGCAGGGCTCCATGAAGTGAGAGGTGCCAGAGACCAAATTACGTAATTTAAATTACTCTGTCAGGCCGCGTGATACTTTCTGAGCACAGACTCTCAATTCCAAAACTTAGCTCATGGCACCCCACTCACAAAAAGCTTGAGTGCCAAGGCCATGGACCATGAAATTCATGGGGAAAGGTCCTCGGCCTCTGCGTGATGAAATGCTTTAGCAGGGGGGTTATCCTGCAGTCATTTAACTATAGTGCATAAACTCATTTTAGAGACAACATAACTTTGAAAATTAAATCTCTTACAGACTAGTTGATTTTGTCCAAATTGGACTTATTATTTATCCCCAAAAGCCTGTTCTGCAGAAGGCAGGTAAGTTCAGTATTGATGACCCTAATGCACGGGGCACTGTAATTTGCACTAAAACTAACATAGTGGGATTCACTTCACAGGTATCATTCCTTGGAATGCTTTCCCAGGAAAAATATGTGGCTCTGCCCTGGAGAACATCTGCAACACAAATGAGGTAAACCCCACCCTTGCTGGAGGGCTCAGAGGTGGTCACTTAGAGGAGAAGGTTCCCTTGGAGGGCTCAAATGCTATTAAGAAAAGCTATTTTTCACAGACTTCGTAAGATTGAACTGTATGTAATCATCTCCACTGTGCAGCCGTTTTTGACCTAGAACATAGCCATTTCACGTGGCCCAGCCCATGCACTGAGGCTCCTTCGTAATCAGAGAGCTGTCACTTTGGGCAATAATTTGGGAGTGATCCCAGTCCTACAACTCTGAATACATTGATTCTCCTCTTTCACCCTCAGATAGTTTTTCAAAGAAGAACATTTGTCACTGAACAAATGAACATTTAGTTTTCATAAACCAAATTTTTATAAATCAAGTCACAGTTAAGCAATTACATTTCTAGAATGATTTACAGTTATTTCTTATTCACTCTTATTTGGAAATAAACCCTAACACATTTTGGGTTAAAATCTCTCAGCCCTAGTTTATCCTTCAGGCACTGGTTTATAAGAGATTTCTTAAGTGCAGTAGTGGGGGCTTGCCTATTTAAGAGAATCCTAACATGCTTTTGGAAAGCAGATGAGTTACTGAAATAATAAGCCCATACTGACTGGGCTGGTTCAAAGCTTGGCTGCACGCTGCAGTCGTGCAGGAGTGTTATGATGCACTGTGAGGCCCAGATACTCAGACTGAATGGGTCTAGGCTGCAGGCAAGGTTATGAACCAGGTTTGTAGGGAGTGCCCATTTGCACCCCGCCTTGCGGAAAACAGCGCTAGAGGAGAAAGATGAAGTAAGGCATTTCATTCCACCTAAAATGCTTACGTCAGTGCCCTGTTCTTTCCTAGTTCTACATGTCCTACCACCTGTTCATTGTGGCCTGTGCGGGAGCTGGTGCCACCGTCATTGCCCTGGTGAGTAGTGGCCCCAGGACTGCCTAGTGTAGCTCGCCTTCCCTGCAGTCTACCAGGACAGGTCTCCCTTCCAGCAAACAGTCTTGGGACTCCACCTTGGAAATGTAGCACGTGGCTAGACTGCAGAAAGCACGTGCTGGCCATCCTGGCAGCAGCTGTCGGTAATGCATTTGGTTGTGTAGAACACAGAGAGGGCCCCAGCATCCCACACATGGGCCTGCTAGGACTGGCGCAGGGCACTGCTGCGTGTTTCACCGTCACTTTCATGACTTTACTCCTGAACAGAGGCTCACGTGAGGCGTTACCCATTTCTTGCCAAGAAACCTTAATTTCCAAATAGAACAGGCCTATATACCTACATGCACAGCTGATCCTCTTATGAGCAGTGTTCTATGAAGTCTCCGCAAACACTGGCTTAGCAGATACGAGGGGAAACACAGCATTAGGTTTTGGTGAGCCTCTGGTCACACCGTTTTTTATCAAAGCAAAACAACCTTGTGTGTTTCTGTTTTAAGACCTATTTAGTATAGATTGCTGATTCATTAACATTGAATTCATGGTCACCAGGACTATAACTCACTCCTGAATGAGGCTCATTTAGCACTATGATTAGGGAGCATTTAAAGAGCAAAACTGAAAAATACATGGCATTAAGTGGACTTCAAAAAGGACATGTATGTACAGTCTAAGAGCTGACACAAGAACGCAGCATTGCCATGACTGACCTCAGTGGGGGCAGCCTTTTCACCACTCCACATGGCCACGAAGGACTTGGAAAGCACCCTGAGTATTGATTGGTTGAGAAACTTCAGCTCCTAAGCAAATTGGCAAGAGTGGAATCTGCGAACCCACACGGGTGTATAGGTGTGTGTGTATGTGTCATTTGGGAGGGCTTGGGTTGTGATTCCAAGAACTTTAAGATTGCTAGTACAAGGAGCAAATCTCAGCTCAGAAATGAGTCAGTCCCGGTTTTTCCAACCATTAAGTCATTCCTTCCATGAAAATAGCAACCTGTTCAATCACGGTGGTGACCTGTTTGTTCTCTGGGCTGAGCAACAGGAGCAGGACTAACTGCCGCTGGAAGATGTGGGGAAAGAGAGCACTTAGCTTCATCTTTCTCATGTTGGCCCAGCTCTTTCTTAGTCTTTAAAACTCGTCCAAGTCGTCTTAGTACATGTGTGGAGGGCAGAACTGAGGACTTGTACACGTGAAGTAAGGAAAAAGTTTGTGAGCTAGATAGGAAAAACCTTGGGTTACGATTATAAATGGGAAAACACACCCGAGGCTCTGAGCCCAAGTGTAACAGTGTCATGGCACTGGCCCTGACTGCCTGTATCTTACTGTCCTGTTTTGTTCTCTTCCACCAGCTGATCTACATGATGGCTACTACATATAACTATGCGGTTTTGAAGTTTAAGAGTCGGGAAGATTGCTGCACTAAGTTCTAAGTTGTATAAGGCCAACAAGGAGCTTTAGAGAGCTCTACTTGGGTAGCGTGAAATATCACTGACACCCCAGACTAAAGCAGAGTCTAGGCTTCGGCAGTTTTGTTAGACTAATGTGTAAATAGCTTTAGTACTCATTTTGCATGGTAGATTAATGACTTATCGTACATGAATTACAAAATAATGAGATCTGGCTATTTCTACATTTTGAAAAGGATTCAGTTATTTACTGACATGGGTGAGCATCCATTAATTTTCTTAAACTTTGAGCAGTATTTCAAGTATTAAAACTTTGGAATGCCTGCCTTTTCCATTGTTTTGCTTGATAACCGAGCTCAGTGATGAAAACTGAAGATGAAATGGAAGAGCTCCATTTTAATCTGGATTTTGTTTTGGCAGACTTTCTGGAAAATACCTGATTAAAAACATTTTTTGATTACTTTGTTCGCTACCAAATAAATCCCCTTCAAAGAAACCAGATGGAAATGTGAAGAAAAATAAAGGCCACCCATTTGTTTTCTCTGAGAAAAGGATTTGTGTGTGTGTGTGTGTGTGTGTTTTTGCACAACACAATCATTCCTTTCAGAGCCTAAAAGTGATAACCTTACGTTGTGGTGTTTTGGTGAGTAGTAACTGACTCCTCCTAGCCAGTTCTCAAACTGCACTTCAGATTTCAATGGGAAGAGCAACTGTGCCTGGATCTGAAAGTCTCAAATATGTTGAGAAGGAGATATGAAATATAAGGAACTTGAGATGAAGATTTTTACAAGAAAGATGAGGAAATAAGTGGGAAAGAAGTGTTTGCTACATCACCTGTAAAGAATGATAAGGATTTTTATGTTTTGTGAAATGAAATAATGGCAGTTAGAAAATGAAAATGTAGTTTCACTACTTAAACAACACTGTCCAGAGCCTGCATGCTTTGCTTATAGTACTTGGTTTTGACATTCCCTTAATTTTTCCACATTAAATATGTAGCTTATTACTTAAAATAAGCATTGTTCAGACTTCTAGGCCTTTAGGGGAATTGCTTTTTATCCACAGAGAGGAAAGATCTATGCACTACACTTAAAGTAACTGCATAACGTGTTCCTGAACTTCTGCGTCAGTCTTTAAAATTACTGTCAAAATGGTAAAAAAAAACAACACTCTCGTATTTCATTTTTGCTTTTCTTTTTAACAATAACTTTGGCCATTTTTTTCATGATGTCTGTATACTAACTTTTCTTCAGCCTTTTAATACTAAGCACACTGGTAGAGCATGCTCTCAGTGTCTGATGCCTCTGATAGCAAGAGAATTATTAATACAGAATAACCTTGGCCCTTCTTACAGTAGAGCCCATCTAATCTGCCTAGCAGCTTGCTCTGCCTTCCGCCATGCTCACTAGCCGTCGTGCTCACCCTTCTTTTCCAGATCCACTTCCTCATGATACTGTCTTCTAACTGGGCTTACTTAAAGGATGCCAGCACGATGCAGGCTTACCGGGATATGAGAGCAAAGGAAGAGCAGGAACTGCAAGATATCCAGTCGCGGTCAAAAGAACAACTCAATTCTTACACATAAATGTCTGCCAGAGTGTTTCCGCCGGCGAATTTACAGCTCTGACAAGTCATCAGACAGCTGCTCTGCAGCACAGCTGTGTACCCCACCAAACAAACTCATGTATAAGTGCAAACTAACACTTCACTGTCTGTCTCAAGCTGCTGGGATGTGTTTCTAGGAAAACCTTCCAGTAGGTAAATGTTTTTCTTTAGAACAGGTATGGGAGGTTTTATGCCAGCCATTTTAAAAGGCAACACTTTGACAAAATGATTGTTCATCCTTTTGAAATTTGTGGCATGGTCACGTTTACTGCTAGAGCAATCACACCAAGACAGGCAATGGGAATACGGCATATTCCTTGATAGGGACCCAGGATGTGCCAGCATCAAGGAATGTGACCATAGATTCACATATGCCCTGTCCTCAAATGAAGTTACGTAGGGACTAAGTAGAATTGGTGTGATGTTCCATTTCTGACAGCTGACATTTATTACACTTTGGCTCAAAGATATTCTTACAATTGACTTTTTAAACATAAGCTGACTTACCCATCCCCTAAGTCCAGGACACATTACTTTCCTGATCCAATCAGAAACCTACTTTCCCATAATGCTGAACTAAGCACTAATTCTACTACGCCTACCACCAAAGCTGGGTTCCGACTCACTGACAAGCTTTCCAGAATCAACTTTATAATAGATCTTAATAAAATGACTCAGTTGCTATTATTCTTGGGAAATGTCAGCTCTGCCTTAATGAGTCTTTGTTTTAAATTTCTAAGAACATATTTTACAACAGAAAACCCAACATCCTTCATAGAATTTTGTCCCACATATGGTTTTCTTAAGAAGTGTTACCTTATTAAAATGATCACCAGTCTAAACCATTTTTATGTGGTCTGAATAGCAAGTTTACAGTTTCCTACCAACGATCTAAGACCTAATTACAAAGAGACCACAGGCCTCCTACTTTTATAGACTTGAATACTTAAGTAATTTAGAGTTGCTATTTCATTTTTTCTTATCTACATCTTTTAGTTTCCTGGAATAATAAAGTTCAATGTTCAGCAAAAAAAAAAAACTGCTTGCATTTAAGCCATTTTCAAAAGAAACTTGCCTTCTAAACCATTGTGTTCCAGAACATTAAGTGAGTATAGGTATTGGGTATTAGTGATGGTAAGCTTTGTGTTGTTCTTTATGAGATGATATATGTAACTGTTGGGCGTATCAGTGCTTTTTAAAAGGGGCTGCGTAATATAGGGTTAACAATGTATATTCTCATGTTAAGAATTAACTTGTGGTTCGCTGTTTCCTGGATTTTAAAACATGTACATGTGCAGAAATGTATAAAATGACAGGAAGCACAGCTTTGTCAAGATGCTATTAAACTTGAACATTAATATTTCATTTGGATTCTTTCTGGTGTTGTTGTTAATGCCTAAACATGCCTATTTGGATCTTGAATTTTTTGTTTTGATTGGGAGAAGCTCTATTCTGTGTAGACCAGTTGTTCTACAATAGCTTGGTGTTTTGTTTTCCTGTTGCATGAGAGACTTCAATATTTTTTCCAGCAGTGGAGGTGCTGTTAGAGTCCAGTGTTCTAGAAGAGGCAGTTGTCTAAAGGCTAATTTTACTTCTCTAATTCTGGTAGCTATTACCAGGAAGTTTTGGAAGTTTTGTTTAAGTAGTCTAATATTTTTATGTAAAGAGCATTAAATTTTGCTATGTATAAATTTTTGTAACCTAACAGTGAATCAATATTTTCTATCAGTGCCAAGGGCTTCCTGTAGTTTAAGTGTTACAATAAATATTTGTAGATAATAGTCAATACTTGTGTATGCTTATTTTAAGGATCTATTTAGGTGGAAATAGTTGTAGATGTACTAAGAGGAATGAAATAAAATTATAGCTTCATTCACTTGCCTTTTTACCAAACATAAATACTACCTTTTTTGTACTCAGTATGGTGTCATTCTTAAATAGCATCAAGATTTCACATATGTATGCAAATCAAGTTTATAGGAGAGGGTATATGTTTCATTTCTGACATAAACCTCTTAAGCAAAATGACCGACCCCCTAGGCTGTAGTTGACAGAAGTACCAGGAATTAAAGTTCTTGCTAGTTCTCTGTGAATCTTCCTAACGGTTCATGTGCCATTCATTGGCTGTTATATCAACACAAGGAATAAAAGTCTACCAAAAGAGTTACTCAGGAATATTAAAAAAGACCTAGCTCTAACAATTACTCTGTAAAGCAGCAGAGCTAAATTTGTTAGAGTTTCATCTCATTTCATTGTCTGTTCAAACTGCTTGTCTGTCAGCATTGAATACGCATTTCGATTTTCCACATGTGCCCTTTCTTAGGAAGGGTCAACTTTTGGCACTACTGACATTGCCATTTCTAAATGAGCTTCTGCCTCCAGATTATTATCCTTCCTTCACACTCGGCAGGAGAACAATTAGAAGCCCAAACCGTATGCTGTTTGTCATTACTTAATCCCTTATGTAGCAATTTTGTGCAATTACTTCTTAAGTTACACAACTCATATGAATAAACTACATGTAAATCATGGCCAGATGAGATTGCGTGCGGTCCCTTATTGACAGTCATCCTGCCGCAAAACATAGGAACCTCTAGAGGGTGGAGTAGAGATTTCCTAGCTTTTTGTGAATGAGATAAAGTCAGAATTATAGGGGAAGAAACTACTCATTTAAAAACCAATAAGCAAACACTTTTAAGTCCATTAAAAAATGAGGACCAAAGATTCCACAATTTTTAAGAAGTGGGAAAAAAATCCTTGTAGGACTTTCTAATGCTATGATAGTCATAATGTTATAAGATTTAAAAGAGGCGATCCCATTTGTTATTCATATCTTTTTCTAAATGAGGGTATCTTCAGCTAGTGCAGGGCTAATTTGTTCTCAGATGTTTGTGAAAAATTACAAAGTTTAAGAAAACTTTTTCAAAATGAGTATTAGGATGAATGAAACCCAAGAAGTTTTGAGGAAACAAAATCACAAATAGAGCTAAGTCAAGTTTGGCAAAGAATATTCTTTTTCTAAACTGCCCCCCAATCTTCCTCACTGTTTTGATATTTGAACTCTTGTACCTCGCTGGGGCAGGTCTACACGGAGGCTCAGTCAGGGAGTCTTGCGGAGGCAGGAGACCGCAGGGAGGGCCTTGCATCCGACCATCTGCATTCACTGGTGTTCTAGATGACACAGCCATCTGAAATGCTTCATTAAAAAATGACAACTTTTCTTTAAATGTACTCTGCCTGATACGGAATATTAAGAACACTGTTTAGAATGTAAGTTGACTGGGGGAATAAATGAAGCTATCAAGCCCCAAGCTAGACAAAAAAGTATACAATGAGTTACTTAGACAAAGACTTTGAATATAAAAGTTTAGGGAAAAAACTCAGTAACATTAGAAATATAAGAAGTTATCTGAGAGCTCTACTCCAAAATGGCAACAGGAAATTCCTGAACTCCCCTCGTCCCAGTGACACACCAAATGTACCACTCTACACAGGGCAATTTTTTGTGTAAGAAAAAAACTCCAAAAAAACTAGCTGAGCTATTTTTATACATCCAACAAACAAGAAAATATCCACATTAAAACAGGTAGGAAAGGCCGACACACGCTCTCACCGTAAACCCAACACCCTGCACAATGCCATACAATCAGCAGGTAACACCTAACAGCAAGGTTCCCCCAGAAGAGCAAAGGGTTGGGAACCCATACCTAGTGCCCCAACTTTTAAGACTGCTACCTGAGGGAGGGCCCCCCCACCAAACACCTAGCTCTTAAGGCCAGCAGGGCTTACATCCACAAGACCCAGCAGACTATGACAAACAGCTCTTACCTGGCTCTAGAGGACTCACCAACTCTGGCTCTTTCCCTTTGTGTATACTAACAGCTACAGCCTGAGTCTGGCTTCTAATTTAGCACACATCTGGGGGCTGACTGCCATCCTCCCAGAGACCAGGGAAGCTAGCAGATACCTCTAACACCTGCTCCCTCTAGCCTGTTTCAAGTCACCAGTATCTCCTAGGAAGGAGCTGACACACGTCTGGGCCCCAGCTTTCGCAGCTGCCACCCCAAAGCACAAATCCCCAGATTGACTGGCTCTGGTAACCAATGGGGCTTGCATTAAAGAGTCCTACAGGGCTGCAGCAAAGAGCAGTTTGTAACAGGCACAGGAGCACCCCCCTCAGCTAGACATGCAGGCCAAGTGAAGGAGGAGCAGGCAAAAACACCCACTCCCAGTTTATTCTGGGAAGAGACCTAACTATATACTCTCCCAGCTGCCATTTGAGGTTCTGGCTTCCAATTAACCTGCATCTAACTGCTGAAGTGATCCTCCCTTTTGGGACACTGACCAGTCTTGACACACCCTAAACTACTGAGAAACACCAAGAACAAAGAAAGCAGCTTGGACAATCATAAAGGTTTGAGAGGCAACCAAGAGTTTGGGCTGGACTGACTGAGGATCATCTATATGAGACCGCTGTCAAAACTGGGAGAGGTGGCGGTTCTCTCAAATGCACAGAAACCAACAGAGAGTCAACGCAACTGAAGAAATGGTGGAATATATTTCAAACAAAACTGGATAAAACTCCAAAAACAAGACCTTAATGAAATGGAAATAAGTGACTTACCTGAGAGTTCAAAATAACACTCATACAAATGCTCACTGAGGTCAGGAGAGCATGAACAAACTAAGAATTCAACAAAGAGAAAGTACTAAAAGTACCAAGAAGTCACAGAGCTGAAGAATACAATAACTGAACTGAAAAATTCAAAAGGGGGTTCAACAACAAACAGATCAAAGGATCAAGCAGAAGAAAGGATCAGTAAATATGAAGACAGGCCAGCGGAATTAATCCAGAGAAGAAGAAAGAAAAAAGAATGAAAAAGAGTGAAGATATTTTATGGGAAGCCACCAAGTGAACTAACCTACACATTATAGAGAACTGTCAAAGTTAAAGACAAGGAGAGAATCTTAAAAGCAGGAAAAGAAAAACCACTTGTTACATATAAGGCAACCCCCAGAAGACTATCGACAGATTTTTCAGCAGAAACTTTACAGGCCGGAATACTATACCTAGCAAAGCTATCCTTCAGAACTGAAGGAAAGGGTTTCCAGATAAGCGAAAGCTGAAGGACTCCATCATCACCAGACCAGCCTTACCAGAAATGTTAAAGGAAGTTCTTCAAGCTGAAATGAAAATACTAATTAGCAACAGGAAAACATATCAAAGTATAAAACTCACTGGTAAAGGTAAATATAGTTAAGTTAAAAATACTGTAATATTGTAATGGTGGTGAGTAAATCACTTATAACTCTAGTATGAAGATTAAACAATAAAAATATTAATAACTATACAATAATTTATAAATAGCTATACAATGTAAAAAGATATAAACTGTGACATGTTAACAATGTGAGGGGAGTTTATATTATAATATACAGATTTTATGTTCAAAGTTAGACATTTTATATAAGACCCCCCCCCATGGCAACCACAAAGCAAAAACCTATAGTAAATACACAAAAGATAAAGAAACCTAAACATACCACTACAGGAAATCATATCACAAAGGGGGAAGAAACAAATTATAAAACAACCAGAAAAAAATTAACAAAATGATCATTTTAAGTCCATACCTATCAGTAATTACTTTCAATGTAAATGGACTCAAATCTCCAATGAAAAGATAGAGTAGTTGAATGGATTAAAAAAATGAGAACCATAAATATGCTGCCTACAAGAGACTCAGTTTAGCTTGAGGACACACCAGACGGAAAGTGAAGAGATGGGAAAAGATATTCCATACAAACAGAATTCAAAAGAAATCAGAGGCAGCTATACTCAACATCAGAAGAAATAGACTTTAAGCCAGACTATAAGAGACAAGGTAATACAATGATAAAGGGGTCCATTCACAAAAAAGATAATAGCATTTGTAAAACTTACACACCCAACATAAGAGCACCTAAATATTAACTCACCTTAAGGGAGAAATAAACAATACAGTAATAGTAGGATTACTTCAATACCCTACTTTCAACAGCAGATAGATCATCCAGACAGAAAAATCAACAAACAATAAACTGGAGTTAAACAATACATTGTACCAGAAGGACTTAACATTTACAGAACATTCCATCTGTTACCCTTAAAAATAAAATAGGCAGTTATTTTTACCAGCAAAATGAATTTATTTGGGAATAGTAAAGGAGTTGCAATCCAGGACATGCAAGCTATGCCAAAGTCCAGAGAAGAAAGGAGAGCAATGTTACTTTATAGAGTAAAAGGAGAAAGGAAGGGCTGCTTTGAATGAAAGTCTGTTGAAGGAAGGTGAGAGTTCAGAATGGCAATAGTTTCTCATTGTCTGGGCTGTTGCTGGGCAAGGAGAAAATCTTCCTTCCTTCTGCTAGGGTAATAAAATGAACTTCTTTCTGCCCAGGAATATGAAGCTGCAATGGAACGTTCATGCATGACAGCTCTGTCTTCCTGACTCCATTCTAAATGAGGGTTCCCTTTATTTTTACATTCTACCTTTTAATCAAGATCTTTCCCCAAAAGCAATGCTGATCGAGTCAGTTTTTCTGTATTTAGTGCTTTTGACCCTTGGTGCCATGACAGACCTTTCCAGGTTATCGTGTCCCACATTGGAGGGAAAGCACATAGCAGTTGGAAGCCACCCAAGGCCACGTTTGAGTAATAAGGACGGTAAGGAGGGAGAACTCTCAGGCACTTCCCATCCAAAGTCTGTATCTTGTTGAGGTCATACACTTAGATCATATGAAGTGTTA